GGGCGCGGCCCGCCATGTCCTTTACTCTCCCTCCCCGGAAGCGCCTTCCGCGGGGATGGCGGTCCGTCTGCGCGGTTTGCCTCAGAAAGGACGAGCCGGTCTAGAAACCGTAATCCCAGGCGTTTCCCTGCGCGCTTCCCGCGCTGCGCGTAGCGTCCTGTCAGCGCCGGAGACCCCCAACGCCGGTAAACTCGTTTAGCGCCCGCTTTTTTATTTTTATTTATTTTTTGCCGTTCCCTGCAACAGTGGGGTTCGCGAAGGGGTCGTGCCGAGACAAAGCACAGCTGCCTCTAGAGGTGAGAGGGCAAACTACCTGGTTTGCACGTAGAACAGGAGGCTGGCCTGCCTCTGGTGGGGGTCTGGCCCGGAAAGGTTAAAAAAGCGGGTGCTGTGGAGCTTGTTTTGTATCGGGGCTCTCAACAGCATACAGAAAATTCCCTTTTCCTTTTTAAACATCCTTCAGCAAGAGTGCACCCACCATAGGCTGGGAAACAACTATGTTAACTGAACAATGTAGAGGTAGATGGATAAGAAAAAGTAAGCCCTATTTCTGGCCGTTTGGCTCTCCTGTACAAACAGAAATTAAAAAACAACAGAGTAAATAAATGTTAACTTTTCCTCTATTTTATCAAATATTTATGTAGCTACATAATAATTAGACTGTCAAACACACGCCATCCTGCGTTTCCCACTTTTCTTTTGGCTGTTTTTAACGCTTGAAGCACTCTTCCATTCCTCAGTTTTGTTTAAATTCTTGAAAGACGTATCTCAGCCATAATATGATTGTAATATTTAGAACAAAAAATGTACAGCAATATTGCCCTTAGGATAGAATTGGAATCTGACAATGCTACTAGATACTAGTTTGTAATTCCAAATGTAACCTCAAGTCCCATAGTCATGCCTTTCCCCATTTTCCTCTCTTTGAATAATATGAATAATAATTTTAAAATTTCCAAAGAGGATTTCAAAAATATTTTTGAATTGTCACTGTAGTAAGAGCTTCGTTGATTTAATTGCCTTCCTCAGTGTCTTTTAAGAAGTTTCACCTGAACAGAAGGTGCACTCCACATCATAAAAGACTGACATGCAGAGGAACGCTTGTTGGTTTTGTTTTTTTTTTTAATTGTCTGTTTCTGCCCATCTTCATTTTTAGCCCTAAAATAGACTCAAACCCAGAGCTCAAATATCATGAACTGATTAATGGGCACAGATACTGTGTTAGCTTGATATGGTGTGCACTAGGATATGCAAAACATTTATTTTAAACTCTTAAGAACTAGATGTATGGCCTTGATGCTAAACATGTACAAACCTGCTGACTGAGAGACCTGGAGAGGGGAAACAAAACCAAAGTGTAACTACTGTATCTTTATTTATTCCAATGGTTTACAATTGCGAGGGCATACACAAAAACTGAATTCAGATTCTGACTTTAAAAACATGGCATATGCTAGAGGTGATATTTGCTGGAACTTACATACATACCTGATTCTGCAAGCAGGTGCCTTATGATTTGTTTGGAAAACTGAGAATCATGTCGATGCATATACTGGGTTTACTGAAATGCATGAAGACACAAAGATGCTTCCTTCTCAAACATCAATTCCATAAACAATATTTAGGTAATTCTAAGTATCTACAAATCAATAAACAGTATTTAGATAATTTTAAGTATTTATAAAATGTAGGCACGTATTAAAAAAGTGTATATTGTGCCAAGCTCTGACATTAATAGTATTTTTACCATAACACTCACTTACTAATAAACTGCAAATACTATTACCATTGGGATACTACCGCTCTAAAATAAGAGACAACATAGCTCAAGCCATGTATAGTGAAGGCAATTTCACTAATGGAGTTCAGATGCTTTATTAAAGTCCGAGATATAAAAAACATGTTGGCTCAACACAACTACTTAATGCACTACTCTGGTGATGTGATTTGGTGTGTTATGTGGCAACAGTGTCAAGAACCTTCCTGAAAGCACAAACAGCACAATTCCTGCCTTGGTTCCCACTAGCCATGATCTTGTAAAAATATGCCTACTGTGATGAGCCTTAGAGCACGTGGGCAGCAGAAATATTAAAGTATATAAAGCACTCATTGTTATAATTTTTTGCAGAATAAGATTTTTTTTTAGTTGGCAGTAATTTCCTTCCTGAAATGTCGTCTTGTAGTTACAAGAGAGACATTGAATTTAAGTAAGGAGTACAGAAGGAAGAATAAGATGTTATGGTATGAGTCTGGGAGAGCTATATTGCTCACAAGAAGTAAAGCCAAGGAGAAACTATAAAGGTCAACCAGACTGAGAATCAGCTTTTATACTTCATCATGCATTTTGAAGTGTGTTGCAGATATGTGCTCATCCTGTCTTGCACAGCATAACATCATTCCGTTGCCAGGGGCTCCCATGTGCTGCCACAGTACAGAGAAAGAGTAAACATTTAGAAACCTTAATGCTAAAACAGCTTAGGTTATTTTCCTTATACATAATAAGGTCTGGATTCTGCAAATACTTGCACATAGTATTAATTTAAGTGCATTTAAAAGATCGGGGCTTAATAGTGCAGTTTTAAAGCCTGTTATCTTGAGTGCAGATCCTGCAGGAAACACTCACATTTTCACTTCGCTACCATTAATTATGTCCTTTAAGTTCTGAGGTGGTAATGACAGATGTAAGTTTAAGTACATGCATAAACATTTGTTGAATTGGGGCTCTGATACCTAAGAAGGGTGAGAAGTTCCTATCGGAAAATGGAGGGTAGACCATGTTGAAAAATAAGAACTTACTTTCACAAGTAAGATACCAAAAAACGTCGAATTACTTTTTCACCTTGGAAACGCGCAGAATCGATGCACGGGCATTCTGGGCGTTTTTTCCAGCGTTCCGCGAACGTACTCGATCCTGCTTCCCAGGACGCTTGTAAGCGGGGTGGCCCGCTCCCCCAGGTCCGCGGCGCTCGGGCTCGCCCTCCCTGCCCGCCTCCGCC